TTTGTTGTTTCTGCCGTTGCCGGTTTGTTTGTTTTCATTGCCAGCGAAAAATATTGAACGGAAATTTTACAATATGATTTATCGCGGTGGGGGGAAATGCTGTGAGTCCTCCACGGCAGAGCAGCCACTGGACTGGACTGCCTGCCTGGTGCCAAATTTCAACGGAAATGAATTCGTTTATAGCCAGAAACATATTGTATTTTGGTTATCCGGCTATTGTGACAGCCATTGACTCTTGAACATGGGTCTCCAGAAACCAGAAACCGGGAATCTGGAATCGGGAACCAGGAAGGTACTACGTATCCCTCGGAGTAAAGAAATGGCCAATTAGGATTGTGTTGGCAACACACAATTGGTTCCGAAGGAGTCTTAATGGAAATTCATTTGGCATTTCCACTGCCGTTCATCGATGGAGCGGAACATTTCCATTCAAATTCTTTAATAATCCGATGGAAAACTTTTCAGCAAACATATTTGCACATGACTGCCAAGTAAAATCGAACAAAGCTCTTTTCTATTGTTCTTCAGTCGAAGAGGGGGTATCTGGGAGGGGCCAGCGATGGTTGGATCTGGGCCTGGGCTCTGTGGCACACGCCCCGAACAACATTTAGATAAGATTCCGCTTCATGCCCCCACAGGACCAGGGATCAGGGACCAGGGACCAGGGACCAGGGCTCTGCCTGTGCGTGCAATGCAAATTGCCAAAGGGAAATTTATTCCTGAACTACGAATGGATGCGAATTTTCCGGAGAGCGCCAAAAGTTAACCAAATATGTCAATTGAATGCTTTGTGTGTGTGTGTGTGTGGCAAGAGGATGCCAATGCCGTTGCCGATGCCTTGGCATGTGGCAAACAAACAAAGCGCAGGACCCAACTAACCAAAATCGAGGAATTGTAGGTTAAAAAGCAATTTATCTTTGACTTTTGCCAAGTAAATTCCCGCCATTGTCTAAAGTGGTTTGCCCCTGGACAGTCCTGCCCCACACATGTGTGTGTGTGCGTGTGTGGGGGGTGCTGCCGAGTTTTTGGCTTAAAACTTGGCCCAAAACTGTGCGTGAGTCTTGGCTTGGAACTTGGCTCTGGCTGCCCCAGCTAGTTTCCATTTTGGGGGGCACTTGCAACCACTCAATTACACTGCAACCACAGACATTCAATTGAGCAAAGCTCGGGTGCTGGCAAAAGGCAAACAATGCTCTCCAATGGAGAAATTATAGCCGTGTGGCAAGCAGCAAGCAGCAAGCAGCAGGCAACTCCATTGAAATGCCTGTGGGGACGACTTTTCAATAAATTCTCGTCTCGAACCGGTGCTGGCGGTGGTGGCATTTGAAAATTTGATCAGAGCAGCACGTAAAACTATTTGAGCTGCTAACCCAAATAAGCTGAGGCATTCATGCCACCACACAGCTGAGCAGCTGGGGCATGCTGCACTACGCCAATGAACTGTGTTGCAATCAATAGAAGCGATTCAAGTTGCAGCAGCGGCAGCAGCAACTTGAGCTACAAGATACTTTCTGTGCAACCATAGAACTTCTTCCCACATGCCACATGCACCCCCACCCTTCCACCGCCGTCCCCGTCGCTAGTGGAATGCCATGGAATGTGCACACGCATCTTCGACTGCCACACGATCTGCACATCTCTCCATCGCCATCGCCATTGCCATCGCCGTCTCCGTCTCCGTCTTTCCGCAGACTTGTGGTGGGTGTTCCCCTGCAGCATCCCCCTCCTTAAGTGTGTGTGTGTGTGTGGGGGGGGGGGGGGGGAGGGGTACGCATGTAGCAGGGAGCTTACATTTATGCGCGAAATTGTCGTATGCATTTGCACATTCATAAATTCTCGTTGAGCGCCCCCAAAGCGACAGCAGCGCAGAAGAGCGGAGCCAAAAGAATGCTCTCTATGCCATTATAGTGTGTGGCACTTACATAGAAGGGGAAAGACAGAGAAAGAGAGAGAGAGAGAGAAAGGGGTGGGCATAGTTGGCAGAGTCACTTGCAACTTGCAACCCGTTCCGATGCTGCTGCTCGCTCGTGTGGCATTTAAATTTCATTTTTAATTTTCTTTTTTTTCCTCCTTTTTTTTTTTGAGCCCCACCTCCTGCTCCTCCTCTCTGCTGCAGGCACATTTTATGGCAGGGGGGGGGGGCAACCTTAGAACAGCACGTCATTAGGCGATAAATTATCTCAAGCGCGTTGCATTTTGCATAAAATGTTGCCGCACCGCTGCTGCCACAGCCTTGGATTTCGAGCGGTAAATGTGTGCCAACAGCTGTGGCACAGGACGGGGGCAGCAGCGGCAGCAGCAGCATTAAAGGATGCCTGGCAATTTGAATTTGTGAAATTCCATTGGGGGGCCCAGCGAAGGCAATCTGCAATCCAAACAGTTGCCGTTAGATGGAGGCCACTGCCAGGGCTGGGACCCAAGACAGAGACCAGGGACTGGGCACAGGGACGGGCACGGGCACGGGCACGGGCACCGGGACGGGGCTTATCTATCCACAAGATGTGGCCGTTTGATAAGCTCAGCGCAGCAGCCGGCAATTTATGTGGCAGCCCCACTGCTGCTGCTGCTGCTGGTGCCTCTTCTGCTGCTGCTGCTGCTGCTGCTGGTGCCTCAGCAATTGCAGTTGCATTCATCATCATGGACTGCAGCAACAGTTGCCGCATGGAATGCACTGCCGTCGACGACGTGCGTTCAACTATGCAAATTTTGTGCCCAGCTCCCCCTTTTGCTTGGTGGAGACTATTGACTTGCAACTTGCTACAACTTAGTAGAAGTCTCGTCCGGAGAGTATGGCTGTATTGATGGTGCTTCTGTGTCTGTGTCTGTGTCTGCGTCTGTGTGTGCTTCTTGTCAAACAGCATTCAAGCACGATTCTGGGAAACATTCCTCTCCATTGAGCTGACTGAAAGAAAGAGCCGGAGACTGCAAAGTGTCTGGGGTCTGGGATCTGGGATCTGGGATCTGGGCGGGGGTGGATAGATATGATCTGAAATCATATGGCTTGGGGATCGGAGAGCCGGAGATAAAGTGTGGCCTGGACGAAAGCTGAGTGTCATGACAGTTCAATCATTGGCTCTGATCCGATCTGGTTGCAGGGCAGAGATTCCAAATCCCACGGATAATTGATAGTGGTTTAGAAAGCTGTATGCGGCGTGCAGCAATTAATTTGAAAACGCTTAACGATAGCCCCCGTGCTAACGACTCTCGAGCACATAACGCTGCCGTTGACATGCCAGGAGCCAGGAACGAGGGCCAGGAGCCAGCGACCAGGAGCCAGGACCAAGGCGATGACAAATGGTTCGTGCGCAAGGTGTGTGCAGGGAATGACAAAAAATCGCTGAACTTTGACTCCGCCCAGTGCCTGTACCTATGCCAGTGGCTCGTGTCCTGCCCTGCCCCGCCCTGCACCTGTGCGGCATGCCTCGTCGTCACACTGAAGTAGTAGTTGCCGAAGCGCAGTTAAACGGCCAGCCATTGAAACAATTACGCTATAACAATTACGCTCTGTGCTGCACATGCAATCCCCCCACCTCCTCCCTGCTCCTTGCCGCATGCGTTCTGTGTGTGTGTGTGTGTGTAAATTTGCCGCACTTAGCGATGTTGCTACTGGCCGCTGCCGCTGCCGCTGACGTGGCAGGCATTTCCATGCGTCAAATTGCCGCCAGGGCATTGCGTGTAATTACAGCAATAAAAATTGCAACACATTGCGTACAAACATGCAACGCCAGCAGAGAGACAGGGACAGAGACAGCGAGCAGAGCAGACCAGAGAAAATTCCACGAGTCAGAACTTTAAAAATACATCCCGACGTCCCGATGTTCAGCAATTATCTAATTTATAGAAGTACATTTATCAAAAAAGCCGAAACAAATATTCAGCAGATGAACAGCTCCAGTCCACTCCACTCCACTCCCCTGTCTTGCCACAATTTGTGTCTCTGGCTAACGAGCAGTCAGTTGTCCAGCATTCAGCACTTGGCATTCGGCCACAGCTGAGTGCACCAGTGCAGTGCCTGCCACTACCCCCCACGGCCTGCCACTTGGGTGGGCCAACTGATTGGGGCACAGCTGCTGCTGTGGTGCTGTTTTGGGGGGGTCTCTCTCTCTCGCTCCCTTTCGTCCTTCAAGCGGAACGCAAGTTGATTGCATTTTTAGCATAAATTTCAACGCATTTGACTAATGTCCGGACATTTGTTATTGCTAGACGAGTTCTTACGATTCTAGCATTCGGTGATTTTTCACCAGGCACTTTGGACTCCGACTCCGACTGCGACTCCGACTCCGACCATTATCGTCTGCAGCAGGGCAAACTGCAGCTAATAGATACTTGTACTCTTGGCTCGTGGACGATGATGATGATGTTGGGTGATGTATGCCCTGTAAGCAGAGTCGTATGCAAATGCTCCTGGCTCTGCCGCTTTGGGGCCCGCTGGCCATGTAATTGTTTTAACTGCTTAATATCACGTATACGCACCGTATGGCCACTGGCCCGCTAGACGATGCCACTAGCTGCAAATGGCAGCGGCACCAAAAATTAATTAACACGCCAAGTCTGGCTGGACACGCCTGCAGCACGTATCGGTACACTCCACCGGCAGCAGAGGCGGAGTCTCGCAGTCTCGCAGTCTCGGACTCTGATTCTGAGAGCCAGGGACACAGACACAGCCCGGAGCCCAGAGCCCAGCGAGGGCTCTCCGTTGTTTGCCATTTTCTGCAAGATTTCTTTTTGTTTTGCTTTGCCTGGTGTGTATTTATGGGCATTGCTGGAAAAAACCCTCAATGCAATTGGCGTGGGCGTTCAGTGGCTAAGTGAAAAGCGTGAAATTTATAACGGCCAATAGATTAAGCCACGAATATAAATAACACTTTTCCACGATTTTTGTTGGTCTTTTCTCTATTGTCTATTGTCTATTGTCTATTGTCTGTGGGTATGGCCATAATTTATCCACGTCTGTATTTGCTAATCAATTGTTTTCCCGGTGCTCCTTTGGCTTTTTCCAGTTGCTGCCGCCGTTTCACAGCCGAAGAACACAAGCGCCCTTCGACCGTATTTGCAGATCAAGAAGCATTCCGTCACCAGGGTGACAATCAGCAAGCCGCATGCCCCATACTTTCTGCCATGCGAACCCATCCTCAATCCCTACAACAACTATCAGGGTAGGTATCCCCGCCCCCAACCACCAAGGACCCCGGAAGCTAAAGGTCTCCCTTGTACTCTCCGTGCAGACACCCAGCCCATCTACTGCATCTGGTATCGGAATGATGAGGCCATCGTTAAGTTATCCATACGCAAAAGTGAGTTTTTCCAGTACGAGAATGGGACCCTGCGTCTGCCGCCAAATGAGCGGGCCAGCGGCGTCTATCGCTGCAAGGTCGAATGGGATGAGTCGGCTGCGCTATCCGACAGCATAACCGTGGAATATCCAGGTAAAAACTATGAGCTAAATATACAAAGAACACCCAACTATAGCCCCCTTTCCGTTTGCAGTACTCAAACGCCTGTTTCCAGGCCAACAGCAGGCGGCTAATCTCAGCGCTTTGGAGAGCCGACCCCTTGTCCTGAGCTGTCCCTTTCTCAGTGTGCCCCCTGCCCGGATTAGCTGGTACTTTGGCAACGAATCCCTGGCCAATGACAACAGGCGAGTAAAGATCAGTGTGTGGTAACATCGAGACTGGACCAAAGACTCTCCTATAAACAAGAAGGCCAACTCTTTGCAACCAACGCTTGAATGTTCTCAGAGGATCGAACTCATTCCCAAGGAGCAGCTACTAATTTCAAACCTTAATTTTCCCTTTACAGTGCTCTCATCCTGTCGAATGGCACATTGATTTTGCGGCATTTGCGCCGCGAACAGGCGGGAAAATACAAGTGAGTAATGGGAAAACTGACCAGGACTGACGTTGATTTTCCATTAGCCGAATGGCTGGTGGTGCTGCTGGTGCTGCTGGTGGAATGGCGGAGCTAAATCAACACCTTTTGCCAATCCACATCCATCAGCCAGACGCACTCTCATTGCAGCGACCTGGGAGCGTGCGGCCGCCCCAAAAACAATGCATTAATTAACATTTGGCCACGCCCCAGCGCCTCCTGTAATTGTGGGGCTACGCCACATTGTCCCTGTCAATTATCGCCCCGTGAAAGTACATAGTATTATGCATTATCCGTGTTTTCCAGATGCTTGGCCCAGAACCAGTACGCCAGCAAGGCCCACCGCCAGTTCGTGTGGCTGCTGCGCGTCGAGCCGAATGGGGGGGAGCGGGAGACGGCCGTGTCGGAGGCCCAGCTGCTGCCTGCCTTCCAGAATGGCACCGTCTATGTGGCTGCCGGGGGCTCTGTGCTGCTGCAGTGCCATGCGGTGGCCGACTTTGTGCCCATCGAGTGGTGGCTGCAGTACCCGAACAACACGCTGCTCAAGATGAGCAACAACAGTGTGGCTCTGGCCATCGCCAATGCCAGCGAGTCGCGCCACGAGGGCTTGTACAGCTGCATCACGCCCCTGGAGACGCAGACGTTCCATGTGATTGTAACGACACCGCCGCGCATCGTGGGCACCCTGCCCGTGGAGCTGGTCTTCATTAGCCTGTCGAAGACGCTGAGCTGTCGGGCCGAGGGCCATCCCCAGCCGACCATCGTGTGGTACCACAACGGAGTGCAGCTGAACAGCTCCTATACGCGGTTCATCAGCGGCAACGATCTGCACATCCACTCGTTCGACCCGGAGGAGGAGGGCATCTACCAGTGCATGGCCCGCAATGTGGCCGGCGAGGACTCGGCCACCGGTGAGATGCGCTTCAAGCGGCAGCTGGAGCAGGGCAATCCGTTGCAGAACATTCGCTGCTATCCGCACAGCTTCCACACCATCAACATCACCTTCGACAGCAGCACCCTGGAGTCCATGTTCGTCGTGTACATTGTGCGCAGCAATCCGCACAGTTGGACCTCCTTTGCCCCCATGAAACTGAATCACACCTCGTTTGTGGTTATCTCCACCAATCTGCCGGTGTATCGGCCCTTTGCCCTCATCACACGATTCCTGTATCCCACCTCCGAGGTGCGCTCCGGCACGGCAGTGCCACAGCAAATGATTGTCAGCTCGCTGCGCAGTATGCCAGTCACCTGCTGCACCCAGGGATGTAAGTATATCCCTGGACTGGTGCTCGTGACTCGTGAATCCCCTAATTCTTGTTATTTTTGCCCAAAGTAATGCTGCGTCCCATTGGCCTGGGCAATGACACCTATGTGAAGTGGTCGCAGGCCGAGCTGGACAACAAGAAGTACTTCATTCTGCAGTTCTCCATCAATCACACGCATCCGCATCCCAGCCAGCTGCTGAACGGACCCCTCCATGGCACCCTGTCGCCCGTCGAGGAGAAGGTGGACGAAGTGCGCCGCCATTTGACCATCATACAGCCCCTCAATCAGACGGCCGCTGCCACTGTTCTCCGGAATGCAGAGCACGAGGTGCTCGACAACGAGGTGGACGATCTAACGCTGGAAATGGAGGAGGACATATTCAGTCTGGTGGTGGATGCCAGTGTGACGGGCATGCTGCTGCAGCGCTTCATGCGGATCAAGATGCGGGTGCTGATCATCACCAGCGAGAACGAGTTCCTCGGCCAGGACTTTCGCTATGTCCAGTGGAAGATTGTGAGTAGACTGTACTGTGGCAGGCAACACGCTAGCATCTGTAGAGAGGATTACCCTTGCTTCTGGGCACCCTATTAAAGTCTTGCCTGAATCTCTTTTTCGTCCCGCAGATCGAGAATGGAACCTCGGAGCAGTCGAATATGCCGTTTCGCCTGACCACCATGGAGTCGCGGGCGCTGGCCTTCAAGTTTCTGGACAGCCTCAACGAGACGTGCGTGTACGAGTGCCATTTGGTGAAGCCCATGCACAATACCAATCAGGAGTCCAAGTGCCAGGAGCGCACTATTTTCAACTCTGTGCTGCTGGTCAGCGGCCTCAGTGCCAACGAGCGGTACAATTTCCATTTCTACAACTGCAAGACGCGCATCTTCTATGGCGAAATAGACGTTCGCACCCTGCCGGATCGTAAGAGAATAAATTTGTATCTATATGCTGTATATATCATTTGTATCTCTGTCGAACAGCCCCTGGCACCATCAGCAACTCAAAGCTGATCAAGCAGAACGGTCTGAAGCTGATCTGGGAGCCCCCAGTGAACCCCAATGGACGGGTGCACCACTACAACATTATCTGGACCCTGGACAGTGTCATGCACGAGGCAAATGTGCTCGAGTGCAGCGTCTGCTCGTACAAGGTGCGTATACGGTGAATTTCTTGCGGCTTTCCTTGACCTCTCCTGTTCGTTGTTGTTCCGCAGTTTCCCAATGTCTCGGTGTCGGATAAAATCCATGTGGCTGTCCGCGTGGTGGGCGAGACCGGCGTGGGGGCGCCCATGTACTTCGACATGGCCAGCAATAGCCACAATCTGCTGGAGGAGGACCGAGCCTCGTCCCGCTCGGAGGTGTACAGCGGCATTGCGATCGGTTCGCTGCTGTCCATCGCCTGCGTCATTATCTTTGCGCTGTTCATCATCCTGCAACAGCGGCGGTTCAAGGCCCGCGTTCAGGGACCCACGCACCTGACCACGCCGACGGACATTAATTTCGGGAACCTGAGCAGCGCCTCTGGGATGCCCGGCGACAGTGCGGGCGGCCTCAGTGGCGGGACCCTGCAGCAGGACTGCCACGAGATGCAGACGCTCATTCCCCGCTCGCGGTACCACATCGAGCTGCTGCCGGAGCACACGCTGGAGTACCAGACCAGCTCGGCACACGCTGCCGCCGTCCACCTGCCCAATGGCCATGGCAGTGTCCAGATCGTCGCCCGGCTACCGCCCCACGAGGGACACTCGGAGCTGAGCATTGCCGGGGTGCATAATCTGTCGCAGCTGCCGCTGTGCGGAGGGGGATCGCCTGAGCGCAAGACGGTGCAGGATGCCATGCTGCAGGAGGCCAAGGCCTTCTACATTCCCTACCGCCACACGCCGCCCAATGCCGTGGCTCTGGGGGCGGGCGGCCCCAAACAATGTTCCTCGTCCAACGGCGACGGCGGCGGCTGCTTGGAGGTGGCTGTGCCGCCCAACTCTCTGCCGCTGGTAGCCACCGTAACCGGGCTGGGGGTGGCCGGTGGGGGCAGTGGTAGTGCCAGTGCACGACGCAGCGGCAGCCTCAGCAGCAGCAGTGCCAGCAGCAGCAGCAACGGCAGCAGCAAGAAGCAATTCCACACGAACTTTGTGCGCCATTCGAATTCCAACGATGGCATCTGTCTGCTGGCCGAGGAGGAGGCGGCCGCCACCCTGACACCCACCTCGGAGCACGAGTATGCAGTCGTCTGTCTCACGAATGGTTTCAAGTTACCCGCCGACATGACCAAGCAGGCAAGGTCAGCCGCCGCCAATGCCTCCACCAAATACAACAACAGTAGCAGCAGCAGCAGCAGCGGCAGCAACAACAACAACGGCAGCAGCAGCAACAACAGTCAGAAGAAGAGGCCGGCTGCCGGCCAGCCAAAGGATCGCCAGCGAGGCAATGGCAATCCGATCTCGTTCAGCCACAATGCATCCATAGTTCCTGCCAACGGACCACAGGCATCGTCTGTGGCATCCGTTGACAACACAACCACTGCCACAGCCACAGCCACGGCCACAGCCAGTGGCCAGGTGGCCATGAGTAAGCAGCCGTGGCCAGCGGCGACAGTGGTCCATCGCCGGGCCCAGGTGGATCCCAATGGGTGAGGCCACAGCCACAGGGCAGCAGACCCGCCGCCACGCCAAGCAAAAGTATTTTTATGAAGCTACAAAGAGAGAGAGAGAGAGAGAGAGAGGAGTAAGGAAACCACCACATTCACAGCTCGAAACATTCCAAAAGACAATTAAGGATGAGGATGAGGATGATAAGCATTTATAGAGCATACATTTTATAAATGTAGGATATTTAATAATTGAAAAACTGGAACTATGGGAGAAATGATTCGATAAGGATGATATTTATACACACACCCACACACACAAACACATGCACATACATCTATACATACATATACATATACGCTAAGTTTTAAGCTATAGGCTTTTGTGTCTCGCGATATTTTACTATACATATATATTTTTTACTGTATTTTGTATTTGTTTTAGTTTTTGTTTGTTTTTTTTTTGTTCGTTAATTGAGGCTAATTTTGATTATATGTAACGTCTTCAAACATGCATAAAATACAATAGAAAAAACCATAATTTATTGTTGCATACCGATACCGATACGAAAACATGCATAGACATGTTAATGCATGACAATTATTTGTCACTAGTAATTATGTACTACATTTAGCAATCTACTGGTAACCCGGACTGCCGCAAAGATTCAATTACAGCCACACACACAATTACAGATACACATATATTTATACAACAAGCCAAACAGAAACCACACACACACATTGCAATAGCCCACACACACACACCCACCCAACCACAGCCACAGCCACACCCACACTCAAAACCACAATAGTCACAAGTGTTCACATCGATTCACCGATTTAAAACGTAATGTAAACCATATTTGTACGAGTATTTGTATTCTTATTTGATACATGCACACCTCTACATACAACTAAATATTTAATTTCCGCATATTTTTACTGCTGAACTTTTTGTTTTTGTTTTTTTTTTTTATACAACCGATATATCAAATGTACCTGATTATATTCATTTTTGCATTCTTATTTCTCTGTGCTCTCTATAGCTATAAACACAACATAACACACACACACACATATATATATATTACAATTATATAAGTACATAAAGTATACCATATATAGAATCAGGCCACAGAATCCATAGCATCCTTACTGTATTGTATATTCGATTCAGCAACCGTACCTCGTTTGTACAAAAAAAAAAAAACCAACAACGCCAAAACACACACACCCACAATTCATACATGCCCCCCTACTCCTAACTCACATACCATGATATTATTTTTGATAAGCATAGAGAAAAGAGAACAAGTTAAAAGTAGTAGACACGCAAACAGCCAGGATAAAACTATGACAGTGTATTTTGTGAATTGTTGTTTAGTGTGAAAAATGAGACACAAACACATAAATATATAAATACAGAAAATATCTAAACATTCCACAGACGTATGCACCACACACACACACACACACAGACAGACAACACACACACAGAGAACAACAAAACTCGTGAACACCAATTAGAGAGAAACTTTAAATAATGAAAATATGAAAATATATATACACATACATACATATGCGCTATATGATTGAAGAAAATGTGTGTGTTTGAAAACTGTAACTGTAAACTGTATACGTATTTAGAGTCTAAGTGCAATACCAACAACAACAAAAATACATACATACATAAATAAATAGCTAAAGCAAAACCCTAGAGGATCCCTGAGGCAAGAAACCAACCAGCAACTATAAACAATAGTACCTTTCCATACAAAAAAAAACAGCCATTACCCTGCAACAACACCCAGTTGGGTGGCATAGACCATTTACCATTTAGCCAACAATAATAGCAACAACAACAAGATAAACAAGAATCTTATTTGTGTTCATACTGAAAAAAAAAGCCACACAGACTCTGCATTTCCAAACTCAATGATCGATGTTATAGATGTACAGCCGAATAAGTTTAACAACCGTTTATATGGTGTATTTCCAGTGTTCCAAAAACAAAGGCATTTAAACCAAAACAAAAAGATGAAACGAAAAGAATATTCCGCAAAAGAAAAACTCAAAATTCCTAAAAAAAATAAAATACGAAGAAGAGAACATTTTAAACGTTACAAAAAATTAAGCATACGACAAAAAAAATTAACTAATACTATATTATATGCAACAAAAAGGCAACATGAGAAAAATGTATGTACTACAAAATATATAATTAGGCATAAGAGAATCGATATGTATGTATTACGTGTTTGGAAACGAAATGTTAGGAAGGAAAAGGAGATGGAGATGGAGAAGGAAGATCGAGAGAAATTAAGTAAAATAGCTGCGATTGTGATCGCCGTGTAAGTGGATGTGATAAATGTTTAAATTATTTAAGCGCAAAAACAATAAACAGATAATGGAAATAAAATTAATGATTAGGATGACAGAGAAGTGCGTATTGCGAATTTTGCAACGGTTTTTGGCCCACGGAAACCAAACCAAACCAAAACCAATAACTAAAAGTCCACTAAAATTGTAAGGCGAAACCATGATTACATATGTTCGAATGAATCTTTGGCAAAGCTGCTGCTCCTAGCACACACTTTCTACTAAGTCTACGATAGTATACTATACTATACTATACATATATCGTTTATATTATATTATTTTTGTAATTTTAGTTTGCATTTAAGCCCGCATTTTGTATACCTCATTAGTAGAGTGGCAAGTAACTAAATTTTGTAAAAGTATTTAGGCTTGGTTTCCTTTTTTTGAACGAACTATCCATAAAAAGAACATAACTGAAACCAAACGGAACGGAGCAAACGAAACAAAAAACTAATGTATTTTTTATGCAATTTATATGCATTGTATATGCAAGCAAAATTAATTATTTGTAGCACACCTAAGCTGCCAACGGTTCGTGTTAAAGTTTTCGATGCAAAAACAGAAATTGGCAATTACCAACCAACCAACTAGCCAGAGCATAAGGCAATTGGCTATTGGCCAGGCTAAAGAGTCTAAACGAAAAGTGTAACGAAGCTCTCGATGTTTGTTTAGAGAATACAGAAGATTTGATGGCAAAGCAGAACACAAGAAATGAAAGCAACCTTAACTATTGGAAAAATATACTAAAAACTAAGTTATGATGGAAAACATACAAAATGGTGTTTTATTTATTTGGCTAATAATGGGATAATGTTGATTAATTAATTAATTATTATTTTCTTCCATGACAAAGAAAGGTCTATCGTGGAGGCTGACAATGGTCATGTAATTCTACACGACATATACATGTGAATCGTGTAGCATATTTTTGGAGGATGTTGCAATGTGTAGAATACGTGTAAAATGTACATCTGCATGTATCAAATGTAAGTCTATTTACATCAGCAATCTGTAAGATAAAGATAGTATGCGAAAGATACTCTAGTGCTGGAGGTTCGTTGACATCTGAGATTACTATCTGGATATATCTGATAGGAAATTTGGATAGGCTTCCTGTCCCTCCCCTCTTTAAATACCATCTTTTCTTTGTTTTATCAAATATGATCTTCGATGATGGATTTTTATTAGAATTCACACACTTATCAAATAGGTATAAAACATCGATTGGTTTAGTAATCTGGAAATTCACATATACATATGTATAGTACATTCATTTGTTGTAGTCGTTGGTAACGTTTTACAGAGGTGTAGGATTTTACTTTTAGATATAGACATTCATAGATCTAGCGATAACTAAATGTATATATACATATATAGATGGTACAATATCAATAATGTATTTACCGGGGATCGTGGTAACATCACAACGAAGTGCCACAAGATGGATCACAATCGATCACAAAAAATTGCAAAGAAAATTATCATTGATGCTTAAGCGTGCCTCTAACCTGTTCGGATAGGACATTGTATGGGACCTAAACTAGAAACAACAAAACGTGTATAACTAACTTGAGCTACGGATAAAGCGAATTATGTAAAAAAATTAGCGAAAATATTCAATATGCTATGCACTATTAAAAACAAAACGACGTTCTAACACGCATCACATTTAGGTACGCGTAATTATCGTGGCATCCTCACAGTTGGCCATCTTATTCACATATCGATTACAGCAATATCAGGTCCTCGTACAATAAATTATGTATGCTCCTCAAGTGATTGAAGACACCTTAGCACACCTTTTCAATCATTTTCACCAGTTCTTTGTACAATATACAATCACGTCCACGTGGTTTGCATATCTCCCGGTGATCCAGGCGTATGCCGCACACATCACCGAACCCAGGATCTGTTGAATATGGATATTAATACACTATCATACAGTGAAATGAAAAGATAAAGACTCACCTGCCGAATCCACGCCCACAATGCGTAGGTAAAGCACTGACATGAGCGTCAGGGCCGTCTCCACAAAACTAAACACCTCGATCTTCAGATGACCCATATGATACAGCCCAGCAAACCGCCGATGCAGGTCCAAGAGATACTTGTTATCTGTTGGAAAATATACTCATTATTCCATTTTACACTCGGAGTTCCTTCAGGGCTCCTTACTTTTCTCAATCTCTAGGAGCTCCACGGAACGCGATAACAGGGGCGCCTTGATGCTAGCCAAATGGGAGCCACGATGCGGCACCGAGTAGAAGAAGCAGCCGCGGGCTGAGCGCCAGAGTGGGGTCATGGCGGAACGCCCACTCTCCCAGGCATCCACAATTAGCTGCTTGATGAACAGACCGCCCTTCGAGTGGCCCACGTAGATGATGGGATGTCCGTGTCCAACGCGATGCTGGATGAGTAACTCGGCCATTTCGCGGGAGCGCTGGAACAAGTTGGAGCGCGGCTCCTTTCTCTTCCACAGCGGACGCCACAGGTACGGGTCGGTGGTGTAGTTGATGGCTATGACCCGAACTCCAGGACAGTCCAGAGGCAGCCAGTCGCCGGGCCAGCATGTGGAGTAGTTTGGATCGTTGGGCGAGGGCTTGCTCTGCTTTCTGCTAGACTTGCGCGTTGTAGCACTGGAAGAAACTGGGGAAAGCGGCCGCTGACTGGATTCCTCGGTGTTGTTCTCATTGCCACCTCCGTTGAGCATGGACTCCAGTTCGCCCTGTCGGAGGCGACTGTTGTCCTGCATTCGCAGGCGGAACGTCGGAAAACTGTACTCGATTCCCTCGCAGATCTGAATGTCCTCGGGGTCACCGCACACGTAGGCATAGCTGCAGAACACACGTTGTTAATTGAAGACAAGTAAGTAGCAATGGGGTGTTACTCACTCCTCGGTGTCATCGCTATCGGAAGCATTGAAATTGAACTCTTCTGAGGGCGTTTCCGCTGGCTGCTGCAGCTGCACCCTCTGTTGCACGGGAAAATCATCGGCGGTGTCCGGCAAGCGGTTC